GGAAAAAAGCGCCAGTCTAGACGAGGATCTTTCGGAAAATAGAACCTTTTCCGAAATCCCTTATTCCTCTTCAGTTTCCAGCAGCCTTCTTCTCCAGCCCCGTGGAAAGGCCTTGCATTAAGTGATAGCGTCAGTGGCTTTCCTGAGTCATTTCCTGCCTTCGCACAGCAGAATGACTCTGCGAGGCGTCCGCGTTAACGTTCTCGCAGCGTAATCAGCATCAGATGTGAAGCACGAGCAAGGTCCTGGGCTTGAAACGAAGACGGCGTCATTCGGAAGAGGCAGCTAATTAGCACCACGCAAGTGGCGGTATCCGATTGAACAGGCAGGACCGGGGCATCCCTCCCAGACTTGCAAAGTCTGGCGTCAGAATGCAACCCCCCCCTCTCCCCCGAGCGGCGGGGCTGTTTAACAAAGACTTTGCTGGGTTCCCTTCTACTAGCTTTGTCTTCCTCCCAGATGCTGGCCATTCCCCTCAGCCATCTGTTCCCAGGAAATACGTTTTCCGTCCACTTCCAAAGCAGTTCCCCTTCCCCACTGTCAAAGTGGCGTGCGTCCCAGCAGGGGGCTTAGGTGCAGCAAGGGGCTTAGGTGCATTTCCGAGCAGACCCCGTGAAGAAGAGGCAGGATCACTGTGGCTGTTTTAAGAAGCGGTGTGCAGCAGTGAAGCATCTCTTCTGCGGCAGGTGAAAATTCTGTTCCTCCGGCTAACGGAACGGACACGATCCCGCGTCAGTCTTATTGGCCTCCTCCCCAGAGCAAGCATCATTTTCCGGTGCCTTTTTGTTCCTTCCCCTTTGGATGTCTCACGCCCACAGTTATTTTTCAGAGCAGAAGGAGAAATCAAAGTCCGTCTGGCTGGCTGCCCTTTCGTTTTTGTCCATGGCAAGAGAAAATGAGCTACCACGTCTCTGCCACTGGGGTCAAAGAAGGACCCACTTTGGAACTGCAAGAGTGTGCGAGTTCCCAGAGTTCCACTTTTCTGGGCCCCCGTCTTCCGTGTAGGCCAGCCCCGTGATCATTAAGTGCTGCTTGGAGGATTGGGGTAATTAGCCTCAGTGCCAATTGGGAGCTCCCAAATGAAAACCGCTTGCATGCGGGGAAGGTGAGGACAGCTGCAGGGTGTGACATCGCCTCTGATCAGAGCGACCTGCAAACAGTCACTATAATTCCAGCCCGGGAGCTCCAGGTCCCATCTGAGAGCCAGCTGCCGACTGGATCTGGTTCCTTGGCTCCATACGATCCAGGCGCTCTGGCCAACCAGGGATCTGGCTGGAGCTAAGAGGCTGGCTGGGCGGGCCTACTTAGAAAGCTTGGAAGAGGAGATTCCGTGAATGGGCAGGACAATGGAATCTTTGTCTGGAGGGGGAATGTGGCAAGAGGAGGGCCCCAAAATTCTGAATCACGCTCGACCCCAACTGGGGATCATCCCCCTTATGCTAGTCAAACAGGTTTTTTTCTGGTGAAACAACACTGAAAGCAGTGGAGTTGCATGGGTGTAAAATGGGTGCATGGCAGCAAAAAATGAGCGCTTCTTTAGCAGAGAGAACCGGTATGAAACGTGCACCCCCTGTGATGGGTTGGAGGGGTGCTAGCCAGCACCCGGTGACTAAAGGGTTAAACTCAGGTAGCTAGCAAGGGTGTTGGCAGGGAGCCAGAAGAACCAATGGGAGCACAGTGCTGAAATTTGAATTGTATAAGATACCTTGCCTGCTTTCTTTGTGTGGGAAGTTAAGCCAGGAGTTGAGAAGATACAGAATGATGTAAACCCAGGCAGGACGACCATGCCTCCAAGGAATTCAGGGCATGGAAGTGGACTGAACCAGGAAGGATCGTGAGTTAATAAAGGGGAAAAGTGTATCTAGTCACGATCAGGGTATTTTTCCTTATTTTTGTGGTTTGTTTCGAACTGCTCTGTGTGCATCTATGCCTCTCCTCCCCCATTCACCATCTAAGGCTACATCTGCACAGCCAGCTTCTTGTGCAAGAACTGTTCTGCGCAAGAGTTCTTGTGCAAAAGGCCTTCCACAAGAGCACGTCCACACTGCCATGTGCTTTTGCACAAGAGATGTGCTTTTGCGCAAGAGCATCCATGGCAGTATGGACGCTCGCTTGCACAAGAAAGCTCTGAGGGCCATTTTAGCAATAGGGCTTTCTTGCGCAAGAAATTCATGTTGCCTGTCTACACTGCCTTTTTGTGGAAGAGCTCTTGCACAAGAGGGCTTATTCCTCGTGGGGAGAGGAATAACTCTTCTGGAAGAAGCCCTGTTTTCCCACGCTGTACTGTAAATTTTCTTGCGCAAGAACGCATGTGCAATGTAGACACTCTGCACGTTTTTGCACAAGAACAAACGTTTCAGTGATCTGGTGGGTCCGATCTCCTGTATTACACAGGCCAAAAAACTTCCCTGGATTAATTCCTGTTTCAACTAGAGGTTTGCCCCATGTTTTTGTGGTCTGGCAGAGGGGGCTTATTTTACCAGACTTTTTTTTGCCCCGCCCTAATCAAATGCACTTGGCACCTGCCTGGTCCAAAGGGTCTTTGTGTGCATGTCTGCCTGCCGAAACTGAGCAGTCAGTGACTAGAGACTGCAGTTTGTTTTTCTCTTCTCTTGTTTTTCAAGCTGTCTTGTGGTAAAAGAGTTTGGGGTACCCCCACGGGGGGGTTGAAGTGCTTCCTCTGGTTTTTTAGGGTAAATCACTTGATGGTGGCAGCTACCTCCTTAAGTCAGTAAATCTGTCACTATGGGGAGTTTTTGAAAGCAGAGCCTATAGAGGCAAGGTATTTTTAAAGTCTCTAGTGGGTGCCCACTTTCTGCACACAGCGTGCCACATTGGAGATCAACCCTGACAACCCCCAGCTTCAAAGAGAGTCCCACCTTGGGTTTCAATTTTTCACAGATTCTAGGGCCAGAAGGAAACGTTTCAGTGGTCTGGTGGGTCCGATCTCCTGTATTACACAGGCCAAAAAACTTCCCTGGATTAATTCCTGTTTCAACTAGAGGTTTGCCCCATGTTTTTGTGGTCTGGCGGAGGGGGCTTATTTTACCAGACTTTTTTTTGCCCCGCCCTAATCAAATGCACTTGGCACCTGCCTGGTCCAAAGTGCTGTTCCATCACACTATGAAGACTCCCATTTATTACAACAGGCTTTGGATGAGACCTGGGATGAGCACACATTGCTGGTTTGACTGCAGCAGCACAACTAGTTTGGGGACTGTTATTTCCAGAAATGTTTTCCTTCCTCGGAAAGTTTCCCAAGAGAACCTCATAACGGTTTTCTGTGCCTCTTGCTTTGATACAGAGCTTGCCTAATAGAGTCACTTGCCTTGAATAAATGCAACAAACTGCTCTTCCGGGAAGACAGGAGGAGAGTTCGCTGAAAAATCAGCTTGATGAAGAGAACAACTTTAAAAAAATAACAAATAGCCCTGTGGCACCTTAGAGACTGACAGATTATATATATATATATATAAGTATCATAAGCATTCATGGGCAAAACCAACTTCCTCAGATGAGATGACTTTGATGAAGAGAGTAAGTCAAGGTTTTTCACTGAAGTGATCGTCCCACCAGCCATTGATTTATCATGTCTGTTTAGACATAATAAATCAATCTCCGAACAATTTCCTGTCAACATACTCCACTGGGACGAGCAGAGTAGCCAAAGTTGATGGGAGAGCCGCCCCTGCCGATCTTACTTTGCACCAGATGCCACTGCGAGTTCGTCAACTTCAGCTCTGCTATTTGCGTTGATTAGATCAACGGCGGGGATTAGTACAAGTTGAACGTTTCTAGTCCGGAACTCTCTGATTCAGCAACATCTGTGGTCTGACAGGATTTGAGTTAGCCAGATGTCCATTTATCATAGGTGTGGCCAAGTTTCCTGCTGTCCCATAAAGTTTGTTTACAGACATCAGTCCTGGCTGCTGTTTTGTTGTGCTAATTTACCCCAACTGTCTTCTAAGAGCCCAGTGAGTAGTGTTGGTCATGCTGCTAGACAATTTTGACTTCCCATGGTCTGGGAAATTCTCTGGTTCGGCACAGGTCAGGTCCCGAGGGTGCCAGACTAGAGACTTTCAACCTGTATAGACAAGACCTTTGTGTTCCATTTCCTCCTGAGCATGACAGAATATGGAAGTGCATGCTGGGATTGGTTTGGTGGGGGATGCCAACCCCATGCACGGAGTCCAGGTGCTTTCTAAGCATCCGAGGACACTGAATGATCAACTCCGAACCTTACAGGATCCCAACCTTTCCGTGCGCAGATAAATGGAAGTTTCCCCTTCACACAGCACACGTAATTAAATGGTCAGGGCCAAGTCAAGCTCGGGCAAGAGAAATCATGGCCAGGGAAGTTTCCACACAAATGTATTTTGCCTCCCTCCAAAGTCACTGCCTGTACTTGGATGCCAATTTGTTTTGCATTCAAAAAAAAAAATATTTTCAACAAAGCCCTTTCCTTCCTCCCCTCTGGGGTTGTATTTGTGCACGCTCCTTTGGGATAAATTGTAACGAGCCGCTGTGTGTGCACGTATGTGAGTTCGCATGCCGCTGCCCGCTTTTCGGTGGAATCAGGACTGTTCCCCTGCAGACAGCTGCTGGAAATTCTCCCCGAGCCCACATAGCAAGGGCTGGGTGTTCAAAGCAGGAGAACCGGTGCTCTGTCTCCGGCTGTGACTGCGAAGTATCAAGTGGCCGTGCTGCAGAGGAGAATGACAGCTGTGAGGTCCCTCGCTTGCCACAGCTGTGGCTGAATATATTCCAATGGTAATAAAGGGAATTGCTCATTAAGCAGAGCGGGGCCTAAAACTTCACTCACCCTCTCAATCAAAAGTATGATCAGTTAAAAATGCAGCAGAAACATTATATGAAATATCACGTGAGATCAAAGAAAGGGGAACCAGGCAGGGCACGTACTCCTGATGATTAAAGCAGGAGGCCGCAGGGTTGTCCTTTCACTCCCTGGACAGGTCTCCTCGTTGTTTACGCCAGTACCGATGTTCAGCACGGTATGCCCCCTGGTGGTCAAGCAATGTGCAGCGAAGGAAATCAACAACGTGCAAGAACGGCAGAGGTGGGAACAGCTCCAAGGGGCTCTAGCCACAAGACAATGCTGCCTTTCATGCTATAGGAAAAGCTTTTAGCACTGCCTACTACTATGACTGCCTGACACTTCCCATTATAAGACCCTGGTTTCAGTTGCTTACAACTTGGCCAAACTTTAATAATTACATAAGAACTTAAGAATGCTGGACTGGGTCCGACCAAAGGTCCATCTAGCCTAGTGTCCTGTCTGCCCACACGGGCCAATTCCAGGTGCCTCAGAGGGAATGAACAGAACAGGGAATCATCCAGTGACCCCCTCCCCTGTCATCCTTTCCCAGCTTCTGGCAAGCAGAGACTAGGGACACCGTTCCTACCTATCCTGGCTCATAGCCATGGACGGACTTATCCTCCATGAATTTATCTAGCTCTTTTTTGAACCCTGTTATAGTCTTGGCCTTCACAGCATCCTCTGACAAGGAGTCCCACAGGCTGACTGAACATTTTGTAAAGAAAAACTTCCTTGTGTTTGTTTTAAACCGGTTACCTATTAATTGTATTTGGTGACCCTTCATTCTTGTGTTAAAATCTTGTGTTCCTGGCCCTGAAATATTCCATGCAGAAAATGGTTGAAATTGTTTCAAACATGAGGCTGGTTGGGGGACACTTTGTTTTATCCATGTTAAAAAATTCTGGCGTCTGGATCTCACAAGCCCTTGCTTTGCTGCAGAAACTGACAAAGCCCCTCGATTCCCCAGTCAAATTGTATTCGTAATGTGCCCCATCCTGGTGAAAATCTGCCCCGATTTGGTTAAGTTACGGGGTTTGGAAAAGAGCAGTTGGCACATGTTCAGCAGAGAGGTCTTGATTGTAGCAGATACGCTCTTTGAAGATTCCATCCTCACTGAGCATGCTCTAACGCCTCACAGCTCCGCCTGCTGGCCGGATTGTGCATGTGCCATCCCCGCAGTGTGACAGCCTGCGCTAGCTCTGGACTGATGCTGTGTGCTTCCGGTAATAGTCCCAGCACACAAAGGACCTGGATTCAAGTTGAACGGGCAACCTTCATGCTGGCCTTTCATAACTTTTGGGAGCTGGAGTTTGTAATCTTAATAATGTTCTTTTAATGTACTGGTGTGTGTCTGAGAGAGGTGTCCATCCCCCAAACAGGCACCAAACACACTCTCGGTTCACCCAGAGCATCTCAAAGCACCGTTCAGGCCAGGACTTCTGGACTGAGCGGAGTTTTTATTTTAATGTGGACGTCAGTCGAGTGGGTATAAGACGAAGACCGCCAGAGAGCCGGCAGCTACCATGCAGTCAATGCTGACCTGGCCTGAGCCAAGCTGCCGCCTTAGAAGTCAAAGTCTAAACAGCAACATCCAGGGCCCAAGCGCCGTGTGCAACAGAAACGCTGGGGCATTTTCCACGTCCCCGTGCTTTGCTTTCCAAAAGGCTGTTTACACACGTGGTGCCAGAGCTGGTGATCCCGTGCAGAATCAGACACGCTGGCTGGGGGAGGGGTGGGCTGTGCGGTGGGGCTAGGGATGGGATGGGCCATGAACCAAACATGGCATGAACCGGAGCGGCAGATTGGGACCACAGGGTGGTTTGGAATGTGAATAATGACTCAGGGAGTAGATGCAAAGTGCACTAATTAATCTTACTTAAAAAGGGCCTTGCTCCCTTGCCCCTAATGGTTTGCCTGCAATATTTATTTCAGTTACACCCGGAACAATAGCAGTGTCAAGCGCCTGGGGCGTCAGACACGGGCCGCCATTCCATTCTCCTCTCCCCTGACGTTGCTTTTCTTCCAAGCACAACTGAGAGCTGGCATGTTAGGGCAGATCGGACAATGGTTTGCATAAGTGTTGGGCTGAGTGAGAAAAATCGGTGCTGGTTTCATTTGTCCTGGCTTAGGAGGAAATGGTTATTTCAGGCTGCTTCAAATTGCTCTAGTCCTCTGTGTATTGTAGGGGGGAAAATAAACACTGTGAGCATGAATCTGATCTAACGCTGGTTTTACGACCATCTGACTATGCTGACCTAGAACCGGGCCCTTTCCCCGGGGCAAGCGTGTGTCGCTTGAGACAAAAAACAAAATGTCCAAATACCGAATTTCCTATGGGGGGGAAGGGTTATTCCTTTCTTCGGCCTGCTGTGTCAGCCTGTTTGCATCTTGTTCCCTAACTTCCCGATGGGTCAGATTAAGGTGGGACGCCATGGTGAATAACTCCTTAAGATTTCCAAAGGTCGGACTGAAACAAAACAAAAACTTATGGCTTCCGCAGCTCGGTGTTCTAAAGGCAGAATCCAGGGGAGAAAAATGAAACACCGGCATCAAATGGGGCATTAAAACTGATGAATGTGAGTCTTAAAAAGGGTCATTTCTGGGCAAAATTTGCCACACTGACCCTTCTTGGTGCTGGGTTGGGTAGCCACAGACCCCATAAATAAAGCTCTATGCAAGCCAGTGGAGACAGTGAGGCTACTGCCTATGGCAATGGGGCGCCCCCAGGCTGTGTCTCCCCTACCATTCCAGGGACGGCCTTGGTCCAGGGTACCATTTTCTAACGGGTATGCCCTGGCCCCGTGTGTGCAGTCTCCCCCATTATCTCTGCCCCCCACACTTCCCACCCCCAGACCACCCTTCTCTAAAATACACGTTTTAATTTTAATGACTATAGTTTAAAAACTTGCTCCCAAAGTCTTCCTGTCCTTTCTCTCGCCCCGACTCTCCTTTCGACACCCCCGTTGAAGAGAGCCCTTGAGAGAAAACTGTCCTTTTCTTCCCGATCGCTGAGCAGATGGGAACATTTTTTACTTCTGACTGTTTGGTGGACTAGTTTTTAAGAGACCCCTCCACTAGAATCCGTTCCTTACTAAGATATAAAATCCTTTGTTCTGCCTAACATTTTTGGAAACATATTTTTAACATAAACATAGAGTGAAATTTCATAAACATGTCCTAGTAGGAAAATCGCACAACATAAATGAGTGTTCCCATTTTCTAAACGCAACGAAACTTTGTTCGGAACGTGCTCAAGCACCCTGATTATTTTCAATCCTATCTTTGTTGTGGTGCATTTAAATAGGTCGTAATATGGGGTGATTTCTTTCTGAAGGCTTCGGAGGATATTTAAAATACAAAACCAGTTTAGAGATAGTGATGAAGAAAACAGAGAAGAGCTTCATCATGTAATCCATAATATTTAATGTTGTATTTACCAGGACAGCTCACTTGCCCTTTCTACAAAGATTTTGCAACAAATTATGTCCAAAAATCTGCGACTGACATTTTTAAATTCCCAAATGTTGTGCTTTAAATTAGGTACTACTGGCATGCAATAGAAAAATGCTCCATTTTCTTTAGAAAGAATTTCTAGCAGTGTGGGGTTCTAGCAGTGTGGGGTTCCCCCCCCCCCCAATGTAATTTGTTACATTTGAGTTCTGGGATTTGGCTGGAAGGGGTGAGCAGAGCGAAGAGGGAGATAGGAGAGAGGGGGCGGGGCCTGTGCGGAGCAGGGGTGGAGTCTGGGCGGGGCCACAGGCGTTATCTGTGGCATTGCTTGAGCCCACCAAGCCCCTGACGGGTGCGTAGAAAAGTCGGGGAGGGGAGCAGTTTCAGTGCCACCCTGGACCATGGCGCCCCCTGCTGGAATCGTAGCCACAGAGGTTGGCACCGCAGCCCAAGCATACACCCCTCTGTTGGGTCAGTCCTACCCTCTCCCTGGGTGTGATCTGTACCCATGTCTTGTACCCATTTCCTGTAGGAAATGATACAGTGACTGTGCACGTCTGTGCAGCTTCACAGTCCCCTGGGGGGCAGGTCACTAGGTCACAGTGAGGGGGGTTGGGCCAGAGAGTAGGTGCCCCACCTCCCCTGCCCGCTGCTGTACTGACGACCCATTCCAGGTGCTGTAGCCACAGCCCTGTGCGTAGAGAAGGTTCCTCGTGCAGCTGCTTCTCCACCCCCCGCCCCTCCTGGGTGTGCAGGGCGCGCTCCCAGAGCGTGAAAAATGCTTCCGTTTTGTGACCCAAAAAGGGCTTTCCCCACCCACCCACACACACACACACACACACTAAGAAAATTGCACCCATGCACACCCAGGTTTGGGGGAGCCATCGATGAGAACAAGCAGCTTTGCTTTTCATTTCCTCCTGCCCCCTTTTCAGCAGCAAAATAGAAACCGGCGGGAGATGATCAACATGAACAACAAAACAAAACCCCTCAAAAAAGTGATTTAGCCATTACCAAAAATATCTACAATTTTAAATGTCCTAAAACTTCACATCACATTGGGAATTTTATTATTTTCTTCCCCAACACACACACACACACACACACACACACACTTCACAGAAGGCAGCAACTTCTTAACATGCAGCCTGACCTCTGCTTTCTTCCTGCCTCTCTCTGTCCACTTTGGCTCCACCATGTCCTAGGGTGACCAGATCAGAACAGTAAAATATCGGGACACATCGGGGAGCCATCGGCCCACCCCACCCACACTCCATCCTGGCTCCGCCCTAGCTCTACCCTACCCCAAGCTCCGCCCCCACTCTGCCCAAGGGCCCCCTCCCACACACACACAGTATCCCTCCACAATCCCCCAACCATGGCTCACCTGTCCCCTCCCACCACTGCCACTCAACTCCTCACACCCCTGCCTGACTCTCCTGTCTGCTGCAAGAACCACCCCACATATTGCGGGTTTTTTGCTCATCTCCTCCCTACTACCATCACCCACTGGTGCCACTCACCTCCCTGGAATACTGGGACCAATGGCAGCTCACATGTAACTCAGTCAAGACATGAACAAAGGGTTAAATATCGGGCCTCAGTTGTCAGGACACCTGGTCACCCTCCTATGTTCCACACGGGGCCCCACTGCTCTCTCCCCTGTAGCGTGGCAACACTGGGTTCTTATCCAGGTTGTGTAGGGGCAGGGGAACTCCCGACTCCCTTTTCCATAAACTCTGAGTCTGCCACTGGCTTCGACGGAGCCCTCGCCATGCACCCGGGTGTGG